TTGAAAAAGGCTTAACTCATCAGATGGATACATATAGAAATACATCTAAGAAAAACACAGAGTGGAAGTGGCAGGGTACTTATACACCCTCACAACAAAAAACACTAAGTACAGATCTGAGAGTACTCGCAGTTACTGACAGCTAGTTCAAAGCCAATAACAGCTTATAAAAAAAATCATGCATCTAAGACTAAAATATCAATCAGTACACATTCATCATCCAATGGATTTAGTGTAAAGACGTCATTAACAGTCAGAGAAAAACATGACCTTGTGCAATGCCAAGATACAGGTATCAACAGATTGTAGAGCCATGAATGTGCATATGTATTCAAAAATAATATTTAATTTTATTTTAATTTGCTGATAACAAAATCAATATCAATACCAACAAAAACAATATTCAAGGATCTAATTACAGTGTTGAAATGTTAAACTTTTAAAAGGATCGATAAGTTTACCCGGATCGTATATAAATTTCCGGGCTCAATAAATAACATCTCCGTAAAAATTAGGATGTGCTATCCCGTTTGAAATAAGTTTTTTATAGGTACAACAAAACTTCCAAACCAAATATTTATATCTATGGTAGAATTTAGTAAAGGTTTGAAGTAATTTGTGGAAACGAAATCCCTGACTTAATAATTTACCAGTAATACAAAGATTACGTTCATTGAAATCCAAAACGTCACAACAGATAAGGGCATGGAGAACGAGTTGTAATATATAAATATTGTAAGATGGTGACAAAGGAACATCACCGTCCATAAAAGCAAAATTAAAAATAGGGAACGAAAAATCGTCCCTTTTGTCGTAAATTTTAGTGTCGAGTTTCCCGTGTAAAACTGAAATATATCTAAATCTAGTAAAGGACAGTTATTAACGTTTATATTTGATGTATTTAAAGTAAGTTCCTTAGGGTAAATATCGGCAGTATACTTAAATATTCTTGATTATTTAACGAAAAATCACGATAACGGTAAGTGTTGTTGAATTTATCAATTAAATGCAATTTAGACGGGTCTTTACCGAGTTTGGTCATAAACTGTGATTCATAACAGTACAAGTAAATTTATTTAAATAGGAAAACTTTTGTTTGATAAAATTGTGTGGCAGTGTAGTTTAAAGAGTTTAAAAGTCAAAACTGTCAACAGAATCAGAAGGACCATCACACATAATTTATCTAAAGCATCCAAAGAATTTTTTTTTACACTCCAAAAGTAGTTAATTCCACTATTCTCATATGTTTTATTATAAAATTTAATGATAAGTTCTTTGATAGTAGTTAAGGTACTAGTTAAAAGCACTGAAAGATTAGTTGTAGAACACTAACTAGAGGCCGAGATGAAACGTCATTTTACTAGTTTTGTGTGTAGTTTAGGTAACCAATACATACCAGGTACCTTTAAATGTTCAGAAGAGGCCTTAAGCTGTGATGTGGTTATGATATGATTGTTTACTTTACGACTGTCTGTGGAGCGCACGGATGTATATTTCAGTAAAGAAACATTAAAAAGATAATTGATATATATCAAAGAAGTAACATAAGACTTATAATCATGTTAAAGGACATTTCTGCATTGTAATAGTTAGACGATATTTTCTATTAAAGGGGCATTAGCTTTTCCGATTAATTATCACCGATTTGACATAATTCTAATAACTGATTAATAACATTCTAAAACGTATATCGAAATTACTGAAATTCCAAACAAAACAATAATCAATGCATTAACTGGTTATAATGTATCATAATTTGTGCTTATTTTAGACAAGATGTCATATAATTAACAATAGATATGACCTCGGAAAACAGCTGATGGTCTTACGACCTGGTATAAAGATAAACATAATTCAAATACACATATAAGCATTTGCAATGTGTGATGACGATTTGTCCAGGTCTTTACGATTTCATTCAATATTAAACAAATGTTAACCATCGATTATTTGAATGTTTTATTTAAGGGACAAATCAGTCAGCAATATGCTTTTTCTTAGTGGCTCTCTTGTTTTAATTTTCTAGGTTGATTACTTGAGATCACCGTTAGGTTTTGGTATGGTTCGTGTTGCTCAGTCTTTAGTTTTCTATGTTGTGTTTTGTGTACTGTTGTTTGTCTGTTGGTCCCTTTTATTTTTAGCCATGGCGTTGTCAGTTTATTTTCGACTTATAAGTTTGTATGTCCCTTTGGCATCTTTCGCCTCTCTTTGACATTCTTTTCTTTTTTATAATTGAACATGGTAGCATATGCGAAACCTTTGTTCATATTGAAGGTTGAATGAAAATGGATTCAAATGAGTTTGTATTATTAACTTGCAAGCCAAAAACACATTTGCGATGTCTTTGAGCTTATTTTGACAAAATGGAACCAAATTGACAGCTAATAGCAAAATCTTATTTCAGTATTCCGCTTTTATACATGTTTAAATAAAAAAAAAATCTATTTTTTAGTCTTAATCCTAGCTAATGTCCTTTTAATCCGTCAATGAATCTATTCATCATAACTTCGAAGAGATTGAAGGATTTTAAAATAATGTGCAGTTTTAGTGGTAAAAAAAATAGCTCTTGTCATTTCATCTCTTTTCCGTTCTTGAGATTCAATTAAGGGTCTGTTCATATGGTTATTAATGTGTCGTGTTTATATAAATAAAGAGTTCAAAGAGTGATAACTTGTCTATCAGATAAGATGATTGATTGATTTATTGTTGGTGTTTAGACCTTTTGGACATCTAGGCCCCTCTATCTGATAATGAATTGGGTGTTTTTCTTGCTGCAAAATAAAACAGCCGTAGTTAATACAGAACGAGCAATGAAGTTATTTCAATTAAGATCAACTACTTGACGTCTCAATAAAAGCAATCAAATTCGGTATGTGCAAATATCAAGACTTCTTTCAAAAGAGAGGCAAAAGATACCAAAGGGACATAAAACTCATTAGCCGAAAACAAAATCACAACGGCATGATTAAAATAAAAAATTGACCAATATATAAACAATAGTACACAAAACATAACATAGAAATCTAAAGACTAAGAAAATGGAAGGTTCACAATTGGGAAGCTGAAAACATCTCTTTTGTCGTAAAGTTTTGTTTTCAACCGACCATCATTGTCAATTTCTAGATGTAAGTCAAGATATGATGCAGACGTATATGTTGTATCCTTTATCACAAGTTCGATGGGATAAATGCGTTCAACATAGTCAACAAATTTTGATATATTTAGTAGGAGCGCATCATCTCTACAGAGGAAAGGGAAGTTAAAGGATACTGCTAAATTCTTTTATTTCTTCCTTAATGGTTCCTGTATGAAGTCAGCCTCATATCGATAAAGGAACAATCCACAGGAAGAGAATCACAGTTGGTTCACGTGGGAATGCTGTTGTTTGTTGAAAAACACGTCCTCTAAACGTAAAAATATGTTATCAAAGAGTTACATCCAACAAATAAAATAAAACACAATACAAAATGAATAAACATTGCTGTCATGGGCAACATGCTAATAGCTTGTGTGTTTTTAAATGATTACATTTTTTTATTAATTATCAAAACACATATCTCAAAAATAGGATATTAAATTCGTGGGTCTAGCGCTGATAACGGAGTGTAGATATAGTACTCTGACAATAAAGAACTTTACCCTGTTCTTTGTATAACAGTTGAGGAGAAAGTTACGAGCCACCTCAGAATATATCAAACAGAAACATACTTTGTAGAGTATAGAATGAAACCTAAAAAATGTAAATTTAATTACAAAGTGAACCATTTGAAAGATAGCATTGACAAGAGTTCGAAACAAAACTCGAAGAGGAATTAATGTGTTACTTCGAAATTACTCTAAATGCGCGACATTTTGAGCGCTGGCCCATCCCATGTCAAACAATAATTAATTGAAGTATACCTGCTCCTCAATTTATCTACGTATCGGCATATTCAGCGCAGGCCCAGTCCATGGTTACATTGTGCTCACTTTGTACCTGAGACGACTAACGTCGAGCGACAAAAACAAAACATTTTCACACTAAACGTGTATCCAAAAAGAATTTTCACCCGGATAAACAAACGAATCGTTCACCCGACTAGAGCGCTGTCAATTCACCCGTTTTATTCAGAGCTGCATGAGAAATCAGGTAACAATTTTCTGACAAGTACAAAATGGATGAAATCCATTATTACATGCCCAAACGAAATGAGTAACACATGGTGCCCTTGTAACGCATTAAGTGTCCCTATTTATATGTTCATCGATAGTGACCTATATTGATTGTGCTGGACTTAAGTCCTGCAAACTTAAAGTTCTCCTGCCAAATTAGAGCCTACGGCAAATTATAATCAGCTCATACAAATGTTTCGCTGACGCGGAATAAAACATATGATTTAATCAAATGTAAAAAATAGTTCAAAAACATATAATCCGTGTAATTAGAAATAAATGTGTCGTCTACAAAATACTCATCAGTGACGCTCGAATAAAACAAAGGTTAAAAGGCAAAAAACAAAATCGAAGTTGGAGAACATTGAGGACCGACAATTCCGAAAGATGTTGCCAACTACAGCTAAGGTCATTTATTTCGTGATACAACATTTTAACTATTTGTAATCATTTTTAAGTCTTGCCAACAGTTTTTTTTACAATTATGACCGTATCAATGATAATTTAAAGTGTTGACTACTGGGCTGGTGATACCCTTTAGAGAAAACCTCGTCCTGCAGTGGCATGAACCCATTGTTTTAAATAAACTCATCATAGATACCAGGCTTAAACATTTGTACGCCAGACGCGCTTTTCGTCAACAATAGACTCATACGTGTCCCTAATATCAAAAAGGTTAAATAAGCCAAATAAAGTACGAAGTTGAAAAGCATCGAGGACCGAAAATTCCGACAGGTTTTGCCAAATACAGCTAATGTAATATATTCCTTGGGTAGAACATCCTTAGTATTTTCAATTTCATCTTTGACCATATGCAAAGAGCATGTGCAATGTAATAATAAACTTACCTGCATGCAACAGCTCGAGAAGTGAAATAGTTTAGATATCTTCCTTATTTTGATGTAACGTTTTCCCTGTTGGTCTATTTAAAAAAATGTATCACATAAATGTTTACGGAATTATTTTAAAAGAAAAATTCCTCTAGGCTATCTTAACAAAACATTACCACGAAAATACTTTTCTTGGTATAACTATGGGGTCAAGGAATATTTCCAAGAATTGCTTGTCATTTGAATATTTTAAGATTTATAACAAATAAGTAGGTAACCATATAAATAAGTACGTAGGTTTTTATTATAGTCGTCCCATAAAAAGACTAAAAAGCAGAGCAAATGAACTCAGCAATCTGAAACATGATTTTAAAAGAAAAAAATAGTAGGCACTAAATGAAAAGACAAAAGATCACCAAACTGTCAGTAATAGCAGCAAAATCTAACATCCAGCAAAAAAGAAAGAAAAAAACATTTACAAACCAAACACTTTTAAATTAGCAGGAAGCAAGAACGATACCAGATGTGAGGCAGACATGTTCAAATGTGCGTGCATTGCAATTACATTTTATTGAAATTTTTAAACTGGTCAAATGAAATCATGACTCAACGCTTCATTTGAAAAAGAGTTCAACACTCGTGCTGCTTTAAACTTAAAAGATTGTCTATAGTACAAATTATTTTCTAGTCGGGATACCTATATGCAGCTTTTGCATACTTCATCATAATTATGCCTCTGGGATATCTTAAAAAAACCTTTCCAAAAAAATACTGTTCGCGTTATAGTTATATAGAGAGGCTCATTTCCGGGAATTGTTTGCCTTTTGAATATTTTAACATTGATTACAAATAAGTTAAGTAAATAAAAAAAATAATTATTTTGTGTGTTGCACATATATTCAAAACTAAAAGTAATATGAACTCTAAGGATCTCCTACAACCGACCATAAAAACATCTATATACATGCACACAAGGAAATAAATAACAAAACCGTAAAAGCAAGCAGCATTATAAAAAAATGACAAAAGAGCACGAATTATATCATATACAAAAACCAAAATTGAAAGCATAGCATATACATTGAGTCATTAGAAACAGCACTGTACATAAACAAGCAATAAACAAGGTTCTAAATCTATTGCAAAATAGCAAGCTTTTTTTCGTTAATTTTTTGGACTGAAAACGTAGAGCGCTTGCGTCGACAAAAAGATCATTTGACATAATGTTTGTTAAAAACTGACATATCTAACGAGTTTTATTTTGTCGAAGACTGCACTGTATGTTTCCTAGGTCTAAATGTAGTAGAAATCCATACGTTTTTGTCAATTATCACCAAATATTTACATTTGGTCTATTTGAGGTATGGATGTCAACGCTTAATTTGAAAAGTTTGACAAAAATAGTTTTATTTCACTCTCGTACATGTCTTTTCATCAACTTCAAGTTTTTTTTATTTGAAAATAATAGAATTAATATTTAAGCATTCGGAACACTTCGGCAGACCTATCAATCTAAAATAAGTAGGGTAGTGGAATCTGCTGAGGTTTGCCGGGGCTAAATATGGCAGTTACCGAACTTACTCCTTTGTTGTGTTTGTGACCAATGAATATCGATACCGATTATGTTATGTAATTACAGTTTATCAATTGCAATGTACACGATCATTATACACAATTATATTCACAAAATACTGGGTTTTTGCATAAAAGTTTACTGGAATTTTGTATACTGTACATTCATTTATTTTCATGGGTACCAATTATCATGGTTTGAGGATATGAGATTTCGTGGTTTTGCCAAAGTTTGCAGATAAGCCTGTCGAAAATGTTTACTTCATTTAACATTAAAATGCGTGGTTGACCAACGAAATCCACGATATTATTATCCAATGAATAATAATAAATTCACAGTTAATCTAAAATTTTTAGTTTTCGCCATTACCTAGCTGAATCACCATGAAAAGCAAACTACTATGTCCAATTGCATGTATCCATAAAAGTAATCGTGGCCTGTACGTTTTAAAGTAAATGAGCAAGTAGGAGAACTATTATCTATGATTTCTTTATAACCTGTCTATGTTGAGAAAGCGAACCATTGATATGGATGGAACAAATCTCCGTTAAAATGTATTTTATCTAACACGCATAGATAATTACGATTGCCAAATTGACTTATCAAATAGCGACTCAGCCAAATACGTCTATTTGAATATTCTAGTGGTTTTTTTTTATTATTTTATATTAATATTATTCAATTATTGACTTTTGATGAAGTTGATACATTGATCTATCAACCCCAGAGATATGATATTCACCGAGTCCAACGGCCAAGGGTGAATGTCATATTTTCGGGGTTGGTAAATCAGTGTATCAACTGATATCAGAAATCAATAATTAATTTGTTATATGTCTTTTTATCCTTCTCCAATTTTCTATTATTTGCTCAAGATACATTTAAAATTGTTCCTTGTTTTTAAACTATACATTGCAGTTGCTAAATTATAAGTTGAAATATTCAATAAAGATTACTAAAAAGAAATTACATCGAAAACAAAAAGAAAAGAAAAAAATTACACGAGAACACAAGAAGAAAAGAAAAAATGAGAATTTGCATGACGTCATAAATCTACGTCATTGACGTTGACCATGTTGACTTAGAATATCTATATTAAGGTACACGTTAGCTGTTCCAAATCTTATATTAACCTCTCGTGATTTTTTCAGCAGAGAATATACTATTTTATCAAAGAGGACTCCGTATGATTTTAGTCAATGAGAAAAGAGAAATTTTTTAGTCCTTTAATAGTTATTGATATTCATTAGAGTGTCATAGCGTGCACACAGTTTAATACTAGCAAGTGCAGGAAAATCATAAATACCGTCTAAATCCTACTATATGTTTTCATTGATGCTATGACTGATATGCACTGGTGGTTTTCTGTGAAACAGTCACCTATGGTATCAAACGTACAAAAGTATGTGCTTTGGCACTGACATCCTTTGTTAGACCGTTTAAATGATAATGACCAAATAAAAATCGATCATCATAGATTCGAATCGTTATTAACATCATAGGAAGGTCATTTGTAATTGGTAAGTTTCAGTCCCGTTGAGAAAAATCAATCTGAATTAAGAGGGTTAATCATGATAATAGACAATTCGGCTCAAGGACTAGAATTCAAAACTCATACATTAAATGACATATGAAGGAGAAGTGGTTACCAGAAGTACAAAAAATCAGATATATCTGGTAGCATTTTTTCTTTAAACATAAACACTCTAATGTGATGTTTCAAAATTGTACACCACAAGGATCGAATGGGGTATAGAAATAAGGTCCAATAAAAATCCGTAGGGCTATGCGGGATGTATACATACCCATTTATAACTGTAAATTCAGAAATTATTGCGAGGTTTTTATTAATGCGAATAATGCGACTGACCTGTTATCACAATAATACGATCTAGCATTCAGATATCTCATAGAAATAAGAAGATGTGGTATGAGTGCCAATGAGACACACCGAACACCAAGTTAAAGGGCCCCAAAATGACTGTGGAAAACAATTCAAACAGAAAAACCACCGGTCTAATCTATATAAAAAATGAGAAACGAGAAACACTTAAGAACCACATCAACAAACGACAACCCCTGAGACAGGTTCCTGACTTAGGACAGGTGCACACAAATGCAGCGGGTTTAAACGTTTTAACAGGCGCCAACCTTCACCCTAACCGGAAATTGTAGTGTAACATTACAACATAGAAAGACACACTATAAAATATCAATTGAAATGGCTTAATTCAATACATTTATCTTTATGCAGATTTTCCGTAAAAAAACAATAAATTATCTCGTCTTTTTGTCCATTCTTCCAAAATTGCAATAATAAACGCACGCAATAATTTCTGGATTTACAGTACTGTCGAACCGGGTGGGGACTTTAATTCCGATATGTTGTTTAGAAAGAAAACCCTTCATTCTTAGAGAGCCAAAACTAGTGTTTAAACTGTTACTTCCAGATGGTGTATACGTGTTGCAAAGTCAGGATCGGTTAACAGGACGCGTGTCTTTGTCGGGTTTTGATATTTTACGAAAACTGCTTAATGTTAAAACGAAAATGGATGGTGTAATTTTGAACATATGCTTAAATGATTGTTGTCAGTTATTACTCTTATCTTATGAGAGAAAGAGAGTGTTAGTTCAGCTGATTCGTGCATATTTTTGGAAGAATTTTGGGTTTGATGATAAAAGCATGAAACTTTCCACCATTGTAAATACATATTTGGTAGTCAATTTAAGCTATGGACCCACTCTGAAAAATACAATATGGCGGCCATTTTGAAGATGTCTGCCAATCAGTCCAAATTTTACAACCATGTATAAATGAAAGCAAATAATATTCAAACAAATTTTTTAGAATAATAAAATGTAATCCAACGTTCTAGTTAGTCATGAAGTTATATTTAACTTTTCATTTTTTTTTATTCAAAATGGCGTAAAATTTCAAAATGGCCACCACAAAACTGAAAATGAACAAGAATGAGACAAGGCTTTGATGATATTTATTTCTTCTATCGAATTGCACATTGTAGTTAATACAGTATTCTAGGGATTACGTTTCCATGATACATTGATGCTGCTTGCATGACAATTTAATCAAAGATACCATAAATGGAAACATTCGAACGTTTTCAAGACGCCATTAGAATATGTTTGACCGTTAAGTACCATCTGAGTCACAAATGATAATGGATATGTTTCACTTCTTCTTGCCACGATCCTTTCTATATCATCGATTGTGGTAATATCAGGATGATAAATAAATACTTCTAATCACCGAATTTTTACTTGAAATGAGTAACATCCCGAATGCTACCAGTTGGCCAGAAACTACACACCTTGCATTGACCCCTAGTTTTGATGAAAATGATTAGTGTTGTTTATGCTTACAATGTTGAGTTATTTGCTACTTTTGCAATGTCTGTGTTGTCAACTTGTGAAATTTTTGTTTATTCATCGTTTAGGCATGGAAAATATCAATTCATTTCAAACATTCACATTTTGTCAAGCTTAATATAAGTTACATAGACC